GTAAGTTTGACAAGACTTAACTTAAAGATAAATCTAAGTTTGTCTAAAGCTAAAGCTGCTGCTGGCGTCTCCTGTTGGATCATTTATATTTACATGTATCTGTTTCTCTGCTGTACTTTCACCTGTGCCTCAGTCTAACTCTGGCTTCTCTCTGATCTGTGCTACATAAATAACATGTATTCTTCTGAGGGAGGAGCTTCTCACTGTTGGCACGTGACCCTCTCCCTGATGACGTCATAAAACTACATTCAATATGAATTACCTCTACTTTAACACTTTTATATCTGTTACTCCTGTATCTGAAGAATGTGGAATGTTCTGAGATAAGAACATTCCTCATGTTCCAAACACGATTAACATAAACAACAACAACAACAACAACAATAGTCTTTTTAAAACTCATAAAATCCTCCAAAAACATTTAGTTTTTCACACGTTTTATTTAAAGTAGGTTGTTTACATTTACACACTAAATAAGTTCTAAAACTGGGGAATATGACTTGAAATAGAGCAAAAAACAATCTGTTGAAAGGCTAATGCTAAATGCTAACAGTAAACAGTGTTGCTATGGTAACTAACACAGTTCAAAAACAATAGATATCCATAAAAACAAGGACATAAACTATAAATACAGAAACAGTCACACGTTTAGTAAGATCAAAAAGGCGTAATAACACTTCCAAAAGTAAAACCCGTCAAAGTGACTGCTGTGGGAGGCCTGACGTTATCTGCGTCAGATGTAAAACACGGCCCTTATCCCCGTGCGTGCCCTTCACAGCCCCCCAAGCCGCGCGTGCGCAGAGAACCGTGGCTTTGGGCCTGGGTCTATTTCTTCTTCTTTTATGAGCTCTAATTGCGCCGTAAAGGCCGCTGTGGATCTGCGCCATATGCTTCATGTTACGGAGCGTGTGGCGCGACAAGCTACTCCCGCGCACCTCGTGACCGCGCGTCGGTAACTCAATCTGGGGACGCGCCGCGGGCTGTGTGTGGGTGTGTGTCTATGAGTGTGTGTATGTGTGCGTGTGGAGTGTGTGTGTGTGTGTGTGTGTGTGTGTGTGCGTGCGTGTGCGTGTGCGTGTGCGTGTGTGTGTGTGTGTGCGTGCGCGTGTGTGTGCGTGCGTGTGTGTGTGTCTGTATTGATCTGTTATTAATGGATTTTCTTGGTCAAAAAAATAGTTCCAAAAGTTTAAATGTTGTTTTTGTGAGAATAACTTGGCCTATACTTAAAGCTCGGGTCCCTAACTTTAACTTTCTTCAGTGTGTAGATACATATAAACATGGATCTGTCCAACTGTAGCTGCTCCACATGAAGTTAGATCCAAGTTTGTCGCTTCCTCCTCATGATTCTTACTTGGATTGTTCTTGTTTACATTTCCAGTCTCTCTCCGATGGATCCTTTTGACAAATGTGATCTATCTTTTCTGAGATCAATGACGTTTATCTGATCTTATAGTGCTGTTACTGTAATACTTTAGTCCGCTCGGATCGGCCTCATAACAATAGCTTACGGCGCTAAAAACACGTCTGAAAGCTAAAGGAGCTAAAATCACGTTAAAATCAATATTTCCCAAAAACACAGACATAAAGTGAGTGGGTGTTGTTATTTTTTATTGTTATTTTTTTATGTGCTGCTCAAACAAATTGCCCCTGGTATCTGAATCTGAATCTGAATCTCAATCTGAATCTGAATCGACGCAAATAAAAATGCAAAACAATCTCACGTTTGAAAGATATTGTGCTTTGGGCTGAGAGCTGATTGGTCGAGGGAGGGTGGTCCTTTTTGTTGCAACACATCCTCACACACAAACAACAACATAGGTCGATTCTCACAGCTATGAAACCGACATATGAGGCCGTTGTTTTTTGCTTGGCTGGGCATCGAGTTGTCGTGATTTTGTTGTGTATGGTCACGCCACGCAACAACAGATCCAGGGACGCACTGCTGTACCCCTTGGTTTCATTTAAATAATCGGCCGAACAATAAACCGTAGCTTAATCAAATTTTATGTTTACAAAATGAAGCATTTTAGTGCAGCTGTTGTGTATTCAGTCAATAATATACGGAACACACCTCTTCTAAAGGATAATACAAGGCGCAGTTGTAAATATTGTGTATTAGGACGTTTCGTTAGCATTAGCCGCCATTAGCAAAATACTACCATTTGTGAACGTATTCAGCGATAGATTACTCCGGTTTTTTTTTCAAATTAAAGTAAGTAATGTTTATTTATATAGCGTATTTTACAGACCAAGGTACAGACCCAAAGCACTTTCCAATGTTCAGAGTCAGATATTGTTCCAATCCTTCCACACACGGTGATGACAGAAGCGAGTCCAGAACACACTGGACCATCAAAGCCTCTGACCCAACACCATCCATTCACTCTCTCATTCACATTCAGACCTATTGTGCATGTTTTTAGTGGTAGGAGAAACCGGAGCACCAGGAGGAAACCTACGCAGACACGGGGAGAACATGCAAACTCCACTCAGAAAGGCCCTGGTACCACCGGGATTCGAACCCAGGACCTTTTATGTTTGCAAAAGGGCGGCACGGTGGCTGAGTGGATAGCACTCTCGCCTCTCAGCAAGAAGGTCCTGGGTTCGAATCCCGGTCGGACCAGGGCCTTTCTGAGTGGAGTTTGCATGTTCTCCCCGTGTCTGCGTAGGTTTCCTCCGGGTGCTCCGGTTTCCCCTACCACTAAAAATATGTACAATAGGTCTGGCATGCGCCTCCTGAACTGGCCCCGCTCCCAAAAATAACAATTGTAAACCGCTTTGAGACTCCGATGTGCAGTGAAAAGGCGGTATATAAATAAAGATTACTAAAGATTACTACTTCTACTTGGTCTTGTTATTGCATCAAAGTTTCAGGCAAACATATGTTCTGCCATTAAAATAATAATGAAAAAACCCACATTGTTGAGTTCCTTTACAGCACCTCCGCGGCTCCGTGTCAGCTCTGTAGAAACACAACTTCCGTATTTACCACTCACGTAAGCGTCACGTAAAGGAACGCCATTCGTCACACGTGTGCTCTACTCCACCCACAAACACTGTAAACCCTAACTTCAATCCTACTTCAGATATCAAGTTATTTTAAATAGATTTTTCCCAGTAAGTAGATATTACTCATTTATTGTTAGTTTATTTAAAGCTTGCCTATGTCACTCAGGGTTTTCTTTGAATTGAACTGTTTCTGTTCAAGTACGCCTCACTTTGACATTTTTACGTGTAGAATCTTTGATGAGGCAGGTTTGACAATGGCCTGGTGGCTGAGTGGTTAGCACCTTCACCTCTCAACTACAGGGTTCTGAGTACGAATCCCGGTCGGAGCATAAGTAGAAATTTAAACTTTATTGCAATCACTTGAGTTTACTTGGTAATATCAAGTAAACGATGTACTCGAGGAATTCAAGTGAAGTTAATACGCAATTTATTTCCATGGTTTTTTCAAGTAAACTTTACTTGTCAGGGTTTACAGTATAGAGCTCTACTGTCGCCAACCACTGTCGCAGACGTAAACTACAGTCCACTCATACGCTCTGTTTTTTTTACTTTTCTGTCTGAAAAAGTGGATCTAAAGATGTGACAAAGGCCAGAGATAAATGCACTTGGAAACTATGGAACCAAACTGTTTTTAGAGCCAGGAACTATTTAATAATTGTTTATGTGGGTCATGTTGTTGTAAAAAAAAACCCAGAAGACAATGAGGAAGTTTAAAAAAAATACTTTATACATGCAACTAACACGACTAAAACAGTTCCTATATATTTTAAATTAGTTGTGTATTGTGGCAGGAGCTTTGTGTACTGTCCTGGTGCACTCTGGGAGACTCTTGCACAGTTATTCCAATGTGGTTTTACTGCAGATGGCAAATAAATGATTGAATGGTGAATATTTTCGACATTATTCAAACCTTATGTCCTAATGTAGTCAGGCTGTGTCTCAAAGCTGGCCTTAGCTAAAGTAGCATTAGCATTAGCATTAGCATATACAGCATCTGTCTCCTCCTTCTGTCTCCTTCTCTGTCTCCTTCTCCCTGTGTCTCCTTCTCTCTGTCTCCTTCTCTGTCTCCTTCTCTCTGTCTCCTTCTCTCTCTGTCTTCTTCTCTGTCTCCTTCTCTCTGTGTCTCCTTCTCTGTCTCCTTCTCTCTGTCTCCTTCTCCCTCCTTCTCCTTCTACCTGTCTCCTTCTCTCTCTGCCTCCTTCTCCCTGTCTCCTCTCTGTCTCCTTCTATTCTCCTTCTCTCTGTCTCCTTCTCACTCTGTCTCCTTCTCTCTGTGTCTCCTTCTCTGTTTCCTTCTCTCTCTGTCTCCTTCTCTCTCTGTCTCCTTCTCTGTCTCCTTCTCTGTCTCCTTCTCTCTGTCTCCTTCTCTCTCTGTCTCCTTCTCTGTCTCCTTCTCTCTGTCTCCTTCTCTCTGTCTCCTTCTCTCTGTCTCCTTCTCCCTCCTTCTCCTTCTACCTCTGTCTCCTTCTCTCTCTGTCTCCTTCTCTCTCTGTCTCCTTCTCTCTCTGCCTCCTTCTCCCTGTCTCCTCTCTGTCTCCTTCTATTCTCCTTCTATCTCTCTGTCGTTGATAGTGTCAGCTCGGAGCGCACGAGTGAGTGAGCGCTTTCTTTAAAAAAAAAAAAAAAAAAAGGACTCCAGCTTTACCGCGCGTCAGTCAAAAGCCAAGTCCGCGCAAGCCCCACCAGCGACGGGAATACTGACATCCACACCGGAAAGGAGACGTGGGGCTGGGACACTGCTATTTCTGCTACTGCTACCACCGCTACCGCCGCTACTGCCGCTACTGCCGCTACCGCCGCTACTGCCGCTGCCTAGTTTCTCTCTTCTTTTTGGATGCCGAGAAAGAGAGACGCCTTGTATTGAGAGGCCATTGTTATGAGAGCAGCTGTGCCCGTGGAGAGCGCGTTGTAGTGGGGTCCTGCTGCTGTGGCTGCTGCTGTGGCTGTGGCTGAGGCTGTGGCTGGTGTGTTGGTTGGAGGAGGCGCGCTGCATGCAATCGCCCCATCCTGCCGCTTGTGGACGCGCTAAAGTGGGGCTACACATTCGAGCCACCGTCTCCAATAACAACAACAACAGCAGCTGCGTCTCTGAGCGCGGACACGGAGCGCGCCGCGTCTCTATCTATATGTTCGTGGGACTTTACGCGGGGCTGGGTCTGGGTTTGGGCTGGAGGTGAACGTGAGAGAAGCAGGCATGAGGCAGCGACGGAGCGGCTCGGAGCGGGACCAGAGGCGCTAGAGAGGGAGAGGAGAGAGGTAAGGTCTTTGGGTCTGTGGGTGTGAGGTGTGTAGGCCCTGAGCTGCTGCTGCTGCTGCTGCTGCTGCTGGAGGCTGCACAGCGCGGTATATAAAGGCTGATGTGATTTATGGCCTGCACGACTTCAATCGCGGTTCAAGAAGAGTTCACACGACGCTTTGAGCTGTAGATGTAACCCCCCCAACCACCCTCAACTCCCCCCCTTCCCTCCCTATATCTTGCCCCCCCAACGCCTCCTCTTTCTTTCGCTCGGGCCTTCCATCTTTGCCCATGCACATGCACAGTCTCTTCCATATTTCCAACCACACACTGCGCGTCCCCCCCTTCACCGTTTCGACTATCCATTCGTCAGATCACCTTTAACCGCGTTGGCACCGCGTTATCTTCAGCTGCTAGCGCTGTCGCTGCGTTTGCGGCTCATGAGACGCAGCCTGAACCGTATTGTCCAAGAGTTTTTTTCTCTGTATCCCACGAGCTGTTGATGTGTTTTATCGTGTTGTATCAAACCGTATTTACGCATGAGGCCAAACTCAGGCACTTTGGCTGCTCCCAACGCGGCTGCTGGTGTCTGTTTTGGTCATACGATACCAGCTGTCCACAGGCTCCACGCGTTTGTATAATGACACGCGCTAATTCCTAGTATTTCTATCGCTTTTTACGCACGGTGCCAAATTAAAATCATGGCCTTTTTTGCACGAGTATTGTTCCCAGGCTTAATGCTGTTGGGGTTTGTTTGCTCTCTCCACCCAGCTTCTCCATAATCACCACGCGCTTTTATGGTTGGACCTTGTATTACAGGCTAGTCTCGCGTCAAACCACTTTTACGCGCGGTGCCAAAGCGTCCCTTCGATTGATTAGTCGTTATAATCGACTATATTTCTTTCCACACAACACAGCGCGAGCATAATCACCCACACTGACGCTATGCTTCACTACAGCTCTTCACATATTCTTGCTTGGAATGTGTTGGTGCCAAATGGAACCTCCTCCTTCATCTGTGTTTTAATGGCTTAATGTGGAGATGTGGGAATCAGAAGTTAATGCATCGGTGTCTTCCCAGGCGCCATTTGTAACGTAATATCACCGGATAACGGGCAGACGTCTGGGGGGAGGAGGGAGGGAGGGCGGGAAGGGGGAGTAAAAAAAAAAAGTGTTTTGCTGTTAAATGCTCTCACGGCGGCGCAAGTGCATCGTTCACGGAAAGGCGTCACGTGGGAGTAACGTGGCGCGTGCATGGTTTTTACGCACAGAATAAACATCTAAAGTTCACTGTTTATAACCAGCTCTTATTTGTTACAGTTGGTAATTTAGATTTGATGAATGTCTGAATTAAACTGTAATTTATTATGGAGTTATTATCAACACATAAAAATAAATAGCCCTAAAATTTGCGATTAAAAACACGATCAGTTGAAAAAAAATTAATTCAGTTTTTTATTTCACTGAAACAATTATCAAAATGTGCTTGTGATTAGTCGACTAATTATTCAGTAAAATTCCATTTATTTGTGAATCGCCCTAAATCTCAAAGTTATGGATTCACCAACAACAGAAAAACAGGAAATACAATAATAACAAACAGACGCCATTGGTCCAGAGGGAGCGGGAAAAACGGTCCAGAAATGTCCTTAAACGTCCTGGATCCTCACTGTCCTTACAGACCCTGCACCGAGAAGGAACCAGTGAGAAAATAAACATAAAAATAAGAATAAAAACAGTGTGAAAAAAGTGAGAAACCTCCGCGAGGCCCAGACCGAGAGAGAGACCTGCTCCCTGCACGGACGGCTGCTGCAGACCCAAGACTCAGACTGTACAACGAGGACTGAGGAGGCTCCCGTGCTGCACCATGTTAGTCCAAAGTATATCAATTGTGAAGATATGATTTTATATTTGATTAATTAAGTTGAAGTTTATTTTAGTTTATTCTTCTGTTAGTAGGGACGTTATAGATCTAAGGTCACGTGCTTTCAAATATTTACACATTGATCATGAATCTTGAGTTTTAACCCTTTAATATTTGAAGAAAGCAATGTAAATGTTTATTTTTCTGATTTTCTAAGATGTAGGAGCGATAATAACAAACAAAAATAACTATGTTTTTATTTTATTTTTACCTCATAATATTACAATCGAAGTAGAATATGTAGATTTCAATTCCAAACAAGTAGAAATAGTGACTCCAAAAGTAATCCACCAAATGTTTTAGGAAACTATGAAAGGGTTAATAATGTTAGTGTTAAATAAAACATAATAATAAAGTCTGGTTTTATAGAATTGAATGAACACAAACAGAACTTTTGTGAAGCGTCACGTGACTCACTGTGGCCTGAAACAGAAAAACCCCAAACCTGGAGTTTCATTTCAAACATTTTCACCTCAAACTCAAACCGTCACATTTCACTCCACTGCCCTCACGCACGCGCACGCTGCTTGTCGTATAGAGTGCGCGCCGCGGGGGGTCACGGCTACGACTTGTCCCGCGTAATGGCCAAACAGGAGATGATTTAATAACATATTCCACCTCCTCCTTATTCCTCAGAGTGAATCATTAGGAAGATAAATGACATGCGTGACGCGCGGAGAGTACGCGCCGCGGCTGTTTCCTCTCGAGATCTGCACAGGACAGAAAAAAAGAAAAAAGAAAGAAGCCAGAACAATAGTCCCGTCGTCAGGAATTGTCTTAATTTAGCGACGTAAGCTGCGTCTCGGTGATGATTAACCGAAGGCTTTGTTAGAGGCCTATACGACTCTTTTGTTTTGCTTATACCACAGTCACTTTTTAGTCGAACTGTCGCCATGACGACTAAAGGCGATTTCAAGTATAATAATAATAATATGTTTGTGTGGAATCTCGTCTGTAAAATGTTGTGTATTATTATAAAACCATTGAGTGAATTGTTTAAATACGCGCGTATATTTTGGGGAGTTTGATTTGCATAAAATGGCACGTAAACATATCGTTGGTGAATACAAGAAATGCGTAAGTTGGAATTTGTTTTTCTATCTATCTAGTGCTATGTCTAATATTAATCTATCTATCTATCTATCTATCTATCTATCTATCTATCTATCTATCTATCTATCTATCTATCTATCTATCTATCTATCTATCTATCTATCTATCTATCTATCTATAATCTATCTATAAATCTGTATATCTGTTAATCTGTCTCTATTGATATATGTATTTTTTATAATAAATGAGTAAATCATTTCCAGAATTCGTTGCGTGTAAATAATTATGGCCTATATTTTTTCAATCAAAACTAAACTAAACCCAGCGTGGCTCATAAACATCTTAAACCCGCGGAGATAGCAAACCCTCTGACCTCACGTTAACGCCTCGTCACGGACAGAAACGGCCTAAAAACGTCCACTTCTCTCTGCGCTGTGTTTGCTTTACGTACGCCCAACCCCTGGCCTGGACGCGTTAGCTGTGGCTGCAGGACAAATGGATGCCAGGTGACCCCCTCCACCACCCGCCGTCTCTACCGTCTCCCACCGCGTCTCTACCGTCTCCCACCGCGTCTCTACCGCCTCCCACCGCGTCTCTACCGTCTCCCACCGCATCTCTATCTGTACCGTCTCCCACCGCGTCTCTACCGTCTCCCACCGCATCTCTATCTCTACCGTCTCCCACCGCGTCTCTACCGTCTCCCACCGCATCTCTATCTCTACCGTCTCCCACTGCGTCTCTACCGTCTCCCGCGGCTCCTCATTCTCCGGGGCCCTACGCTCAGAGCCCGGCTGCAGTGCGTGTGGCCGCGGTGACCTCCTGATGGATGGATGGGCAGATGGATGGATCAGTGATTCGTGAAGTCCTTCCTTCCTTCCGACATTTCTGCTTTTTTCTTTTTTTTTCTCTCTCTGCATTTTTCTTTCCCTCCCTCTCTCTGCCGCGTCTTATTGTCGTGAGAACCTAAAGATCTATCTATCTATCTATCTATCTATCTATCTATCTATCTATCTATCTATCTATCTATCTATCTATCTATCTATCTATCTATCTATCTATCTATCTATCTATCTATCTATCTATCTATCTATCTATCTATCTATCTATCTATCTATCGGTGAATCATTACTTTGATCTGACTTTATAATTCTCTCTGTTTTGCTGATTTAAAAACCTGTTTTTATTGGTGATAAAAGTATTGTATTTATTAATGACATAATTTTAAAGTCTTTTCCCATTTGCTCTGCTCTGTTGTCTCCAGTTCTGCCCAAAGTGAAATGTGACCAATATAAGTAAAGCAGAAACAGAAAAATAAGGGAAATAATTCTAATAATAATGTCAGAATGTCATGTTTATTGGGGGCATTTCTAAAGTGTGACGTCAGAGAGAGTATTGTATCTATAATATATCTATGTTTAGTCTCTTTATGTAGCGCATTCCGCACAGACCAAACGCTTTCACGTTTTGGTGTAATGTGACATCACAGCGGACAAACAGCTGAGTCTGGCCTCTAACACTTGTTTTGTAAAGTGGGCTATGGCGTCGTCTGAAGAACAATAATTGTAAAAATAAAATAAATAGTGTAAAATTGTTATTATATTTAATTCTATGTGTTTCACAACATCAGACTCTGAAACATTGATCCGTGTGTGTAAAAAAATAGCCACATGAAGCTAAATGTAAAGGCTGGGGTTCGCTAATGTCAAAAAATAATTAGGATAAAAGAAAATATCGTACGTCATTGAATTTTGAAAAAAATATAAAAAACAGACGATGTTTATAAAAGCAGTTTATAACAGGAAGTCAATGAAGCTTTTTAGGTTTTTATTATTATAGATTCAAACATGGTACAAAAAAAAACAGGCGCCTTAAGATATAAATAACAATCATTATAAACACACACACACACAGACACAGACACACACACAGACACAGACACAGACACAGACACACACACAGACACACACACAGACAGACACACACACAGACACACACACACACAGACACAGACACACACACACACAGAGACACAGACACACACACAGACACAGACACACACACAGACACAGACACACACACAGACACACACACAGACAGACACACACACAGACACACACACACACAGACACAGACACACACACACACACACACACACACACACACAGAGACACAGACACAGACACACACACAGACACACACACAATAATCTATATACATGTGGTACCGTTTCTCTCCAGAATCTCACAGTACATCCCCTTTAATAAACTTCTCTCTCTCTCTCTCTGTCTCTCTCTCTCTCCCTCCCTCTCTCTCTCTCCCCTCTATCTCTCTCTCTCCCTCTCTCTCTCTCCCTCTATCTCTCTCTCTCCCTCTCTCTCTCTCTCTCTCTCCCCTCTCTCTCTCTCCCCTCTATCTCTCTCTCTCCCTCTCTCTCTCTCCCTCTCTCTCCCTCTCTCTCCCCTCTATCTCTCTCTCTCCCTCTCTCTCTCCCCTCTATCTCTCTCTCTCCCTCTCTCTCTCTCTCTCTCTCCCCTCTCTCTCTCTCCCTCTCTCTCCCTCTCTCCCTCCCTCTCTCTCTCTCTCTCTCCCCTCTCTCCCTCTCTCTCTCTCTCTCCCCTCTCTCTCTCTCCCCTCTATCTCTCTCTCTCCCTCTCTCTCCCTCTCTCTCCCCTCTATCTCCCTCTCTCTCTCTCCCCTCTCTCCCTCTCTCTCTCTCTCTCTCTCCCCTCTCTCTCTCTCCCCTCTATCTCTCTCTCTCTCTCCCTCTCTCTCCCTCTCTCTCCCCTCTATCTCCCTCTCTCTCTCTCCCCTCTCTCCCTCTCTCTCTCTCCCCTCTCTCTCTCTCTCCCTCTCTCCCTCTCCCCCCTTCATTGTCTCCTGCCATGTACAGGAGCTGGCTCGCCCTCTCCGTGCCCCCTGGAGCATCTGCTGGGCTTGGCTCTGGGGGTCTCAAGATGAGGGAGGGGTGAGGGCGGGGGGGGGGAGTTAGCCTGTAAGCTAGTGAGTGAGTGAGTGAGTGAGCCAGCGTAAGAAAAGAAAAGCAGCTCGGGTTCTATTCATGTCAGTCCTCCTTTCATTTGAGGAAGATGGATTTATCTCTGCTGTTCCTTCCAGCGCCCCTCCCCCCTCCCCCCTCCCCCCTCCTCCTCCCCCCTCCTCCCCCCCCCCCCCAGGGTTCGGACGGTCTTGGGTTCAAATATTTTTTGACCTGGTTCCAAAAATGACTGTAAAGTGTGTGAGCGACGCTTTTTTTTGGTCGAAAAACTAAAAGTAAATGATTGAAATGAGAAAGTAGAGATGGGATTTTCTCTGAGGCATAAACTCTGGCTCTAAAAACACATTCGACTGCATTTAAAACAAAAACAAAACAAAAAAGGAACAGGGAGAATCTGTAGAAAATATATTGTTATTAAAAAAGGGTTTGGCTCAAAAAGGAGACGGAAAATCTGTGAATAGAATCAAGGAAACTATCAATTGTGGACGAGACAGCTACAACACATTTTTTATTGTAGCTTTTTTTATTTTTATGATTCTCCTTTTTGAGCCAAACCCATTTTTAAAATAATAATATATTTTGTTCAGATTCTTCCCTGTATTTTTTAACAAGTTTGAGTTAAAACATGAGACACTGCTTATTGTTTATTATGTGCACAATTTGTAATAACAGAGAGATTCTTCTTTACAGCATCTTTAAATTTATTTACAAAGTTGTGGATTCACCAACAGCAGATCAGAGAATCACAAACAGGAAATACCATAAAAACAAACACGCAGAGCCGCTGGTCCCGGGTCACGTTCTAAGAGATATTTTGCTCACAATGAAATCAGTTCTAGCCTAGCATTAGCCATGTGTAAACTCTGGTCCATGGTCATTTCCTACATGTACGTCTGGTCTTACCATGTGTAAACTCTGGTCCATGGTCATTTCCTACATGTACGTCTGGTCTTACCATGTGTAAACTCTGGTCCATGGTCATTTCCTACATGTACGTCTGGTCTTACCATGTGTAAACTCTGGTCCATGGTCATTTCCTACATGTACGTCTGGTCTTACCATGTGTAAACTCTGGTCCATGGTCATTTCCTACATGTACGTCTGGTCTTACCATGTGTAAACTCTGGTCCAGGATCATTTCCTACATGTACGTCTGGTCTTACCATGTGTAAACTCTGGTCCATGATCATTTCCTACATGTACGTCTGGGTTTGATCCTAGTGGCTGCAGTTTCCTCGGTTGAATCCCCTCCGACCAATCAGAGAGCGGGGGAGGCGGGTCTTGTAGGTCGGTGTCGGTGACGTCAGAGTTTGTGCTGAATTTGCAGGTTGTAGTTTGTCGGAGAATGTGAAAGTTAAATAAATGTCTGTCTGTTGTGACTCTATGATGCTCCTTCTAAAGCTGTGTCTCTAGGATCTAATCATTCATTTACTCTATTTATAAGTGGGAACAGTCTCTGCACAGACAAAGATATGTTGTATGGTAAACTTGATGTTGCTGGTGCCTGTGTCGCTGGTGTCTGTGTCGTCTGGTGTCTGTGTCGCTGTTATCTGTGTCGCTGGTGTCTGTGTCACTGGTGTGTGGGTCGCTGGTGTCTGTGTCACTAGTGTCTGTGTCCCTAGTGTCTGTGTCGCTGGTGTCTGTGTCGCTGGTGTCTGTGTCGCTGTTGTCTGTGTCGCTGGTGTCTGTGTCGCTGGTGTCTGTGTCGCTGGTGTCTGTGTCGTCTGTGTCGCTGGTGTCTGTGTCACTGGTGTCTGTGTCGCTGGTGTCTGTGTCGTCTGTGTCGCTGTTGTCTGTGTCGCTGGTGTCTGTGTCGTCTGTGTCGCTGGTGTCTGTGTCACTAGTGTCTGTGTCGCTGTTGTTTGTGTCGCTGGTGTCTGTGTCGCTGGTGTCTGTGTCGCTGGTGTCTGTGTCGCTGGTGTCTGTGTCCCTAGTGTCTGTGTCGCTGGTGTCTGTGTCCCTAGTGTCTGTGTCCCTGGTGTCTGTGTCGCTGGTGTCTGTGTCGCTGGTGTCTGTGTCGCTGGTGTCTGTGTCGCTGGTGTCTGTGTCCCTAGTGTCTGTGTCGCTGGTGTCTGTGTCGCTGGTGTCTGTGTCCCTAGTGTCTGTGTCCCTGGTGTCTGTGTCGCTGGTGTCTGTGTCGCTGTTGTCTGTGTCGCTGTTGTCTGTGTCGCTGGTGTCTGTGTCCCTAGTGTCTGTGTCGCTGGTGTCTGTGTCGCTGGTGTCTGTGTCGCTGTTGTCTGTGTCGCTGGTGTCTTTGTCGCTGGTGTCTGTGTCGCTGGTGTCTGTGTCGCTGTTGTCTGTGTCACTGGTGTCTGTGTCGTCTGTCTCGCTGGTGTCTGTGTCACTGGTGTCTGTGTCGCTGGTGTCTGTGTCGCTGTTGTCTGTGTCGCTGGTGTCTGTGTCGTCTGTGTCGCTGGTGTCTGTGTTACTAGTGTCTGTGTCGCTGTTGTTTGTGTCGCTGGTGTCTGTGTCGCTGGTGTCTGTGTCGCTGGTGTCTGTGTCGCTGGTGTCTGTGTCGCTGGTGTCGGTGTCACTAGTGTCTGTGTCGCTGATGTCTGTGTCTCTGTTATCTGTGTCACTAGTGTCTGTGTCGCTGGTGTCTGTGTAGCTGGTGTCTGTGTCACTAGTGTCTGTGTCGCTGGTGTCTGTGTCGCTGGTGTCTGTGTCACTAGTGTCTGTGTCGCTGTTGTCTGTGTCACTGGTGTCTGTGTCGCTGTTGTCTGTGTCCCTAGTGTCTGTGTCGCTGATGTCTGTGTCACTAGTGTCTGTGTTGCTGGTGTCTGTGTCCCTAGTGTCTGTGTCGCTGGTGTCTGTGTCACTAGTGTCTGTGTCGCTGTTGTCTGTGTCCCTAGTGTCTGTGTCGCTGATGTCTGTGTCACTAGTGTCTGTGTCGCTGGTGTCTGTGTCGCTGGTGTCTGTGTCCCTAGTGTCTGTGTCGCTGGTGTCTGTGTCACTAGTGTCTGTGTCACTAGTGTCTGTGTCGCTGGTGTCTGTGTCGCTGTTGTCTGTGTCCCTAGTGTCTGTGTCGCTGTTGTCTGTGTCACTAGTGTCTGTGTCACTAGTGTCTGTGTCACTGGTGTCTGTGTCCCTAGTGTCTGTGTCGCTGTTGTCTGTGTCACTAGTGTCAGTGTCGCTGGTGTCTGTGTCACTAGTGTCTGTGTCGCTAGTGTCTGTGTCGCTGGTGTCTGTGTCGCTGGTGTCTGTGTCCCTAGTGTCTGTGTCGCTGTTGTCTGTGTCACTAGTGTCAGTGTCGCTGGTGTCTGTGTCACTAGTGTCTGTGTCGCTAGTGTCTGTGTCGCTGGTGTCTGTGTCGCTGGTGTCTGTGTCACTAGTGTCTGTGTCACTAGTGTCTGTGTCGCTGGTGTCTGTGTCCCTAGTGTCAGTGTCGCTGGTGTCTGTGTCACTAGTGTCAGTGTCGCTGTTGTCTGTGTCACTAGTGTTTGTGTCGCTGTTGTGCTCGGAGAAAGTCAAAGGCTGTGTTCAGACGCCGCTGCATGAACTTGTGTCGATGGAGGCACAGACGCCGCTGCATGGACGTGTGTCGATGGAGGCACAGACGCCGCTGCATGGACGTGTGTCGATGGAGGCACAGACGCCGCTGCATGAACGTGTGTCGATGGAGGCACAGACGCCGCTGCATGAACTTGTGTCGATGGAGGCACAGACGCCGCTGCATGGACGTGTGTCGATGGAGGCACAGACGCCGCTGCATGGACGTGTGTCGATGGAGGCACAGACGCCGCTGCATGAACTTGTGTCGATGGAGGCACAGACGCCGCTGCATGAACTTGTGTCGATGGAGGCACAGACGCCGCTGCATGGACGTGTGTCGATGGAGGCACAGACGCCGCTGCATGAACTTGTGTCGATGGAGGCACAGACGCCGCTGCATGGACGTGTGTCGATGGAGGCACAGACGCCGATGCATGGACGTGTGTCGATGGAGGCACAGACGCCGCTGCATGAACTTGTGTCGATGGAGGCACAGACGCCGCTGCATGGACGTGTGTCGATGGAGGCACAGACGCCGCTGCATGGACGTGTGTCGATGGAGGCACAGACGCCGCTGCATGGACGTGTGTCGATGGAGGCACAGACGCCGATGCATGGACGTGTGTCGATGGAGGCACAGACGCCGCTGCATGAGAACTTGTGTCGATGGAGGCACAGACGCCGCTGCATGGACGTGTGTCGATGGAGGCACAGACGCCGCTGCATGGACGTGTGTCGATGGAGGCACAGACGCCGCTGCATGGACGTGTGTCGATGGAGGCACAGACGCCGCTGCATGGACGTGTGTCGATGGAGGCACAGACGCCGCTGCATGGACGTGTGTCGATGGAGGCACAGACGCCGCTGCATGGACGTGTGTCGATGGAGGCACAGACGCCGCTGCATGGACGTGTGTCGATGGAGGCACAGACGCACCTTCACTAAGTATCAGCTGAGTTTAGTCAGTCTGGACAAACACAGCGACACGTTAGCATCAGGTGTTTACAGTCACAGGAGAATGTCAGGGGAAGACGTTTGTTCACTATCGCTGTCCTCACTCATGGTTTGATCCTAGTTAAGGTCCTGTTTTGGTTGTTTTGAAGTGTGTGTTTGGACCGGCACATGTCCCTGTGACCACTTTGCTGCTCTCTGATTGGTTGCCGCATGTGTGTGTGGAGGATGTTCATCTCGCCGCTGAACCCACCGCTGTTGATTTATTTGTTAAGATCTAAACAACTAAGAGATGACGACGCATGAGTTATTAGATTAAAATATTTTGTAAACACGTTCACTCTGCAGTCATTGGAAGAAGAAGCTTCAACAAACACTTCATCATTTACTAAATTAATTAACTTTTCCAATAATTAATGAGTTGGTATAAATCCCGTCTCTCCTCTGCGCAGGTCGGACTGCAGGGGACCGCTGGAGAGGCGCCGTCACGTGACCCCCGGTACCAAATGGTCTTCCGGGAGTGTCGCACAGCAAGGACCGGAGCAGCACACGCAGACGCCCCCCCACCTCCTCACTGCGCCCCCCCCTCGCCCGCCTCGCCCGCCTCGCCCGCCTCGCCATGCAGAAGACCTCCTACTACGACAACTCGGCTGCCGCGCTGTTCGGAGGCGGCTACGCGTCCTACCAGCTGCCCGGCGGCGGGAGCGCGGGCGCCACGGCGGCGGCGGTGGGTCCTGCTAACGGCTACGCGGGCGGGGGCGGCTACGAGGGCCCGCTGTCACATCACCAGGTACCAGTAACTCACCTGGTACCAGTAACTCACCTGGTACCAGTAACTCACCTAATACCAGTAACTCACCAAGTACCAGTAACTCACCAAGTACCAGTAACTCACCTGGTACGAGCAAATTGTGGCAATATTTACGACAGATGCAGCGATTGCGAGATTTATTCAATAAAATTTTATCAGTGAAAAAAATGACAATCAATATACAATACAATACAATTTATTCTTGTATAGCGCTAAATCACAGCAGCATCATCTCAGAGACTGAACAAAACCATTGAAATCACAGAATCAACAGTTAAAACACAGAAAACACAGGTGTTGTCCACAGGGAGAGAACAATGTCGTATGTTGTATGGACAACTTTCA